CTGCCATCTTGACAGGAAGCCTCTCAGAGCCCTTTACACGGCCTGGAATTTATCCCGCCTCCCAGGTGCTGTGATTTTAGCTTCAGGTCCTCCGGCAGTTTGCGGTTCAGGTGTCCTTTCCCAGCCAGGCCTGCCCAGCACCACGGGACCCCTCCTTGCAGAAGCTTGGGGCGAGGTGGCAGTTCCAGCACATTCCTGCACGAGGTGCCCTGCTTTGCGGAGCCCAGCGTTCCTGGGGAGAGGTCAGGGAGGGAAAGGTCGCCTATCGACAGGCAGATGTCCCCTTTGACTCCTGTCTCCTGCACCTGAGAAGGGTATTGCGACCAAAGTCCAGGTGTTCCTCACTTGCAAGTGCCTGCAGCTTCAGACCTCGCCTCTTTGGATGCTTCTGACCCTGAGGTACTGGCCTGAGGACATCTCACTACCTTGTACCTCTTTGATGCTTTCATGAAAAATTTTCAGTGTATTTTATCCAATAATTTCAGTGGTGGTAGAGAGACGATAGGCCCGACTAACCCGTGACTGGAAATGGAAGGTCCACCCCCTGACTTTGGCCAGTCCTGTGCCGTCTGTGTAACTGCAGTTTCCAGCGTGTACATTGTGTTGTAGAGCCACTGTTCCCACAGTTTTGTGAGCCTTGCGTCTGCGTTGGAAGGATTTGGTCCGCGTCGGTAAACTCTTTCTGCCATCACTCCTTTCCTTTCCCGGCCGGCCGAAGTCCGTTCTGCTGCGCTTCCTCCCAGGAGGGCTCTTGAGGCGTCCAGCCCCTGAATTTTTGCATGTTCAAAGACATTTGGCTGCTGCTTTATTTCTTCGGGGACAGTCTGGATCACTCTTTCCTCCCCTCAAACTCTTGCGCACATGCTTCTTCTATCTGCTCTGGAGAAAGCTGAAGCTGGTTTTCCATTTTGCTCTCAGAAGGGACTCGTGTGGCTCTGAATACCATGCATGACTCCGCGGGCTTGAAGCCCAGTAGCTTCCCTAGGCTGCGTCTCAGCGGTAAGAGCAGATTCATCTCCCCCAGAGAAATGTGGGCCCTTTCGACCCATGGGTTTGACTCTCTGCAAATTAAATCTGGGTATTTTTTTTTCCTGTCTTTACTCTCTGCTCAGATTCCTTAAGTGGTACCATCTATGCATTCGCATCACTTTTGTCTTTATCTGTCCCTGCCTACCCCTGCCACCTTGAACCCTGTCCAGGCAGGACCCCCGTAGCCTTGACCGGCTTCAGGGCTGCTCTCTTGGTCCTTGGTTTTCATCACTGTTTTATTTTCTTCTTCCCCTTCTCGCCTCACTTTTGCCAGCTTCCTTTTCATTTTCTGATGTATACCTTTTTCCAGGGTGGGGTCTTAGTTTGCCTTCTTATCATGCTTCCTTTCTTCCTTTTTCTTTTGGTAGGTTTGTTTCAAGGAAGGGCATTCTTCCCGGAAAATCCATTGCAGGACAGTTAGAGGCCAGGCCAGGCCAGTGCTCAGGGCCAGCCCCGCGCGGCCTGCCTCGGGGGGACAGGGGACAGAGGGCTTTGAGGGTCGGTGGCGGACTGGCCTCCCGTGCCTTCGCCCGGCCTGAACCACGGCCGCGGCCGGGCCCCGGGCTGGCACAGGTGCTCAGCCCGTCTGCAGGGCGTGCCCTCTGCTCACGCCCCCTCCTGTTCCAACCAGCGTGGGCGCTTCCCGTCTCCCGCCGGGGGTCCACAGCAGGCAGCCGCCCCCCCACCCCAGCCTGCTGCACACTGTGCATTCCTTTCACGTGCATTAGTTCGGGGTTCTAAGTTTTCCCCAAAGATGGAGTTTTGCTCCTTTTTGTGCGTTTTCCTTACTGTTCTCAGGTAGTTTTGGAAAGAAGGAGCCGGCTTCACTCTTGCTTATCACGTGGAAGTAGCGAACAGCGGAGAATTCTTTATACTGATAGTCAAGGCACAGGGTGATATTTGTGTTTAAAGTGTCTCCAGTCCCCTAGAGAATCTGAATCATGCGGTTGCTGCTAAAACATGAACAGGAGACGGGGAGCCAGCGCACCTCCATTTCTAGCAGCGTATCTCAATTTTTCCCCAGTTCCTAGAAGTTGGAAAGGGGGACCAGCGGGGGGGTCTGAAGTTCTCCTCTTCTTGTTTGAGCTGAAACAAGGGCACATGTATTGAGCGTGAGCGGCCTGGCCGGGGCGTGTCCCCGCGCCCCTCGGGTGCCTCTGTGGCCAGGCTGGCCAGGCCTCTGGCGGAGCCCGGGGTTAGGGGCTGCAAAGGCAGCGTGAAAGCAAAGCCTGAAAGGGCGTGTGGAAGCTCTGCCCCCATCCCCCGCCCCCCCGCCCAGGTCCAATGCTCCCTGGGCTCCCCGCCTGACATCCGAGGAACGTGGCTGTATCCGCTGTCACTGACTCCGCCGTCCCACCAGGCCATTTTGTCCCGTGAGGCCTGCTGGGAAGCAGCGTCTGTGGGGATTAGCTCATCCCCGGTTCCATCAAAACCACGCCCTGGGCGTGGCAGGAGGGTGCAGGTTGGTACCTTTGCTGACCCCCAGGCATGAAGTCAGAACTTTGCATCAATGTCTTAAGAGTTTGGCCTGTTATCACTGTGGTGGCCGTATAATTTATCCTCCAAGCCAGGACACAGCTGGGAGCGTGGGATTAATAATTAAATAGAGCCGTAAACTTAAATTGGGAACAGCCCAGGCAAACCAGAATGAATGGCCAACCTAATTATCTCCAAAGTTTCCGTGATAAATCTAAGTATATGGTGATACATTATAACTAATAACTCACTTTTTCTCTAGCATGGCAATAAAAACCTGACTTTATCTTTGGATACTTATTCATACTCAGTAGCAAAACTAGTGTCATTTGATAATGAATTATTTAGTCCTCAAAGTCTTTCAGTTTTATGGGTGCATACATTCATTTTTACATTGCACACTAATATCTTGCTCACAGTTCTCTGCCCTTATAGGAAGTGGAGCTTGGTTTATTGCCATAGTTTATTACCCAGAGCTAGTTGGCAGGGTCACGGCGCCTTTAAATGGTAAATTACTCCATCAATAACAGCTGTAGGATCCAGCGCACTGTGCCCGACACTGTGCGCCCGGCCCCATGCTGAGAGCTTTACTTGGGCACAGAAATTTACAGGCAACGCCTCACGTAACCCTCACATCAACCCCAGGAGGAAGGTGCTGTTATCCTCCTCTTTCCACGACTTAGAGAAGTTAAGTAATTCGCATGGGCTTCCAGCGAAGCGCAGAGCCCGGCCGACGTGCAGCCAGCCTGCCTTCAGGGCTCACGCTGAGCGACGCGTCCTACAGTCTTTCTTCCCGGCTAAGGAGTGTGTTCAAGCTTCTATGCCACAGCCCGTTCAACGTCGCTTTAATGAGCACTGGTACCAAAGTGTCCCTTTCCAGGCGGCCCCTGTTTCGTGGCGCCTTCCCATCCCAATCTGCCCATTGCTGCGAGCGTAGATTGGGGCGCGTCTTCCTCACAGCCGTGTATACACGAGCTCCCGGGCTTGCTCCCTCTCTTTACAAAGACATGTTAAATGGTGATTATCCTGGTGTGCCCTTTCCAGGGAGCTCCGCTTGCTGAGGAAGTGTCACTTTAGCAGGATAAGTACTGCAAGAAACCCAACTCACATTTTTTTTTTAAAGATTTTATTTATTTTTAGAGAAAAGGGAAGGGAAGGAGAGAGAAGTATCAATGCGTGGTTGCCTTTCGAGTGTCCCACCCCCCAGGCATGTGCCCTGACTGGGAATCAAACCAGCAACCCTTTGCTTCACAGGCCGGCTCTCAATCCACTGAGCCACACCAGCCGGGGCTCCACTCACCTGTTTTAAAATCGTCTGGCGCGCTCCTGGATGCGTGGAACACCACGCCCTGGGACCACGAGTTATTCTAGATCTTTGCTCATCCGGTGTCCCGTCTCCCTGGAGCTTCTAGCCCCGTTTCCCGAAGACGCGCTGGGCCCTTGGGAGCACAGCTGGGCTCCGCGGACTGGAGCCCTGACAACACGGGTGCCCAGCCTGGCCCCGGGAGCCCCCACGCAAGCGGCCAGAGAGGGGGCGGCTCCCATGACCAAAAGGGACGTGTGGCTCTGCTGTCATGCGGCTTCTCTTGTTTTTCCCCTGTTCCCATGCAGCACTTTGAAATGCGAGCATGAAGGCAGGCTGGCGTTACTAAAGACTTATCTGTGTTCTGGGGGCTTCGAGGAACTCTCTAGTCTGCGCAACATGCTGTGAGACAGGCCGGTGTTGTCCCATTTCAGAGTGGGAGAAACTGAGGTTCGGCAACGGGGGCTTCCCAGGCAACCACGGGCTGGTCTCCGAGGAGGCCGGGCTGGAATAGCCCTCGAGTCTGCGCCCTCTCTCGCTGACGCCCTCGCGGCTCTCGGGCCCAGGTCCCGCCTCCCTGTCCGCGTCCTCACAGAGCTGCCGTCCCCACTGCTCAGGCATCCCCCGGTGCCTCGGCTTTCCCTCCGCGCCATCGCTTTCCAGGGGAGCCTGGGGTCCTCTGATCTAACACTGGGAGAGCACTGTGGCAGAGCGCGTGCGTATTTCATGAGCCTCTGGCACGCTGACCCCGCTGCTTCACCCGCTGTTGAACGGGTCCTGGCGTGTGATTCTGGAAAACCTGGAGGAATGAATGTGATGCTGAGAAGGATGCTTACCGCCTTCTCCTCGGAGGCCTTTACAGATTGAAAAGAAGCCGCGAGACTCAGGCAGGTTTCTACGCCCTGGGTGGCACTGGCCCCGGAGCCCCGCCTCTGCGTGCGTGGGACTAGCTGGTGCCATGGGTGACTCTTCCACATGTTAGAGAAGCCTTGGCACGAAGACCGCCCGGGCCAGCCCTGTGGTGAGAGCGTGGTGCTCAGAAAGGGTACCCAGAAAAGGAGCCGCGGGCCGTGCGGCCACTCACCATGTTCTGCCCCCCACTTTCGGGGGCACTCGGGCGGCCCCAGAGGTTGGTGTCTTGCCGCAGTCCACAGCGGCGGGTGGTCATGCACCATCTCGTGGTTTGTTGCAGGGAACTCGCAAGCCAAGCGCTCCCCAGAAGCCTCTGCCTGCAGACCCTCTGAGCAAGGCGACCCGGCTTGGCCACGCCTCCGCCAGGACCCTGGCCCCACCGCAGTCTGGGCTCCGCCTGGCGCCCCTCAGGTAGGTGGGTCACAGACACCCCCGCCCCCTTCTCCCCCAAGCCATGTGGGGCCGCTGCGGGAAGCGGGGCTTTCAGGCCACGCAGGACAGGGGTGTGGGCGGGGGTCTGGGCCAGGCTTCCTGCACCCCCACACCTGGGGGCAGTGAGAAAAATCAGCAGGAGGCCGTTGTGAGCCTGCGATCCCAGGTGTGGCCACATCCCCCTTGGCGATGGCCCAGCGTGTCCAGGAGAAGTAGACACGGCACCTCACGTGCTGTTGAGATGGGCCACCACGTGATGTGATACAGTGAAGGCTGATCACACGCCCCCCAAAGCCCTCTCAGCCCTTGGCAGACTCTGCCCCCGCCCCTGGGCCCTGGGAAGAAAGGCAGGGCGGGAGGGTCAGGCTGAAGAAGGGGCCCCGGGGCGTCAGGCTAACGGAGCCGCGAGGCAGGCGGGGACCTGGTGTAAGCGGGGGCTTCTAGGGACAACGAACGGAGGGACCGCCTCTCAGACTTTCTGCCCCTGTGGTTGCCTCTCACGCCGTCCCCCTGCAGACAAGAAGCGGGTCCTGAGTCCTGGCTCACGCAGGGAGGTGAGCCGGGTGGGGTCCTGAGTCTGGCCTGAGCTGGCTGCCCAGGGCTATGCATTTCCAGGAACTGGGCAAGCTAGGTGTCCCACCCAGCCGCTGTTAAAGTGCACTTACAGTGATACAGACTATATTTAAAATCAGATGTCATAAATGCCCAACACACCTCCCTTCCGGTTTGGTTTTTGTTGTTTTGTTTTTGGTTTTGGGTTTTTTTTGCCCCATTTCACTATTACCTGAGCTCTTGCGGTCACCTGCACCTGGTATTGCTGTGTGGCAGCCACTGCCCAGCGAGTTCCAGCTCAGGCACGTGGCATTGGGAGCCTGGATGTGTACCCTGCAGAAACAGGCAGATGTTACGAATCAGACCTTCCCCCCCACCTCCGCCCACCCAGTACACAGATGGGCGAAGCCCTTCCCTGACACGCGTGCACCCGCCCCGCCCCCAGTGGGAAGCTTGCTTTATGAGCTCAGAAGAGCCAAACGTGGCGTGCTGGCCAGGCCCGGGGGTCAGTAATCCAGCCTCTCTGAGCGGAGAAGCCTCCTGTGAGTGACTCCATTACGGCTCTGGAGGAAAACGCCAGGCCTGGGAAAGCGCTCGCCGCCTCGTAAATCTCGGAGGCAGTGGTCCCAGGGTCAGGGGGGCCGCTGCGTAGACGCGGCAGATCGCAGGGCCTCCTAGGGATCTCACAGCGGTTTGAACGCTGGTCTGAAGTTCCTTTTCTTGTGCAAAAGAAAAAGCCCGGCTTTTCACCAACATGCGGAGCAGGGACGGCCCTCCCGAGGTGTCTGCCTCGCCTCTGCCCCCCGCTGACCCCAGCGCTCCCCGGGGCAGCATGTCCCGGGAGCAGAGGGGTGCTCTGCGCAGCCACCCCGCCCCCAGAGGGGGGATTCCACACGCCCGGCTTCGCTCCCCGCAGGCACGCTCTGGCTGGCCAAAACGAGTGTATCCACACTCACAGCCTAAGTGCACCCAAAATATCAACTATTTCAATAACCTCTTAGGTTGCAATACTCCAACTCTGAAGGTATTGGGTCAAATGAATTTTATTACCAAATGTTCCCCTAGTCCTTTTTTACTCTTTTATACGGCTACTAGAAACTGTTCCATGGCACCTGGGGCTCACTCCCCTCCCGCCCGCCTCGTGTCCACTTGTGAACGGGAGGTGCAGCGTCCGAGAGGTCCCCTGACCGCTGGGAGCCTGGTCCCTGAAGAGATCTGCAGCCCCTGCCGAGACCCCGAGCGGCCCGCAGGCTGCAGCACAAAGGCTCTGATCCCGGATTCGCTCCGAGGGCAGGGAGAGGCCTCCAGCCCCGGCGCCTGCACCCTCCCAACCGCTGCCAAGGCCTCTGACCCCGGCTTTGTTTTCTCCTGACACAGACCAGCTCCCAAACGTCCACATCCCGTGCCCAGACCCGCCCACGCCGCCTATGCTAAGTGAAAAGCAAGCCGACACTTTTCTACAGTGAAGACAGAAGTTTGCACTATCTTCCAACTCCAGGGGGAGTTACTGTTTTGTACCAACTTGTAGAATTTTTGTGTCGACAACACCGTTGTGTTAAGAACTCCGAGCTACTGCCGTCGGTGCTGTGCTGTGCTATGGTGCTCTGTAAACGTGCTCAGGTACTTGTAAGTTATTAATTTATGCGGAACGCTTGCTGCAGTGCGGTGCGCTGCAGCGGGCGTTCTTCCCATCACTGGGTTTTCCGTGGCAGGAAGGCTTCTGGTGCTTTCACTAGCGGAGTGAACTTGAAATAACACGCCTGACGGGGTTCTGGGCGGGACACTGACTTTCTGACCCCAGGTGGAGCCTTGTGTGGTCTCCGGGGACCCGCCGGCTACCGCTAGAGCCGGCGCTTCAGGTCCAGGCTGTGCTTGGCCCCCCGGGGGCACCACCCCGAAGGTCCAGGAGAGCAGGGAGGGATCGGGCTTCCGAACAGGGAGCTGCGGGGAGAGCCTGGGTTTCAGGAAGGCGCATGGCAGTGTGGCGCCACCAGGACGGAGCCCAGGACACCAGGCCAGGCTGAGTCTTGACCTTGAGCTCGCCGGCCATGGGCCTATTTGCAGAACTGGCCCAAAGGCTTGCTTTATAGAAGCAACTTCTTTTGCCAGCGGCCCATTTTGGAGTGCTGCTCCCAGCGCCTGCCTGGGCAGGAAAGGCGGGGTGCCCGTGAGGACGCTCCACTCGGCCCTGCGCCCCAGTCTCCCTGCACTGTGGGGAGGGGCTCAGCAAATTCCCACCTCGCCTTCCCCGCCGGAGTACAGGCGACTCCGGCGGGGGAGGCGCTCCGTGGGGCCCTAAGTATTTTCAGATGTGAACCAGTAACCAGATCTAGTGAATCATTTCTGTAGATAAAATCTCCCTTTACTGCAAGGTTCAGCTTATTAAAAATTAGGCAGGAGCCCCAAGCTTGCAAAAGCTACGACCAAATGCAACGCTGAGTTCACTGGTATTGGCTGCGTCTGCCATCCTTGTTAGCATCTGTTGGCCAAAGAACCATAAGTTTCTAGTAAGTTCTTTGGGGGTGGGGGGCATCCTATTTTCCAAGCTTGGCTGCAGGGATTTTTAAAAGATGTTTTGAGCATAAAGTCTGAATCTGTTGGACACGTGCAGCCTCCCTGCTGAGCATCGCGGAACGCGGTAAGGAAACTGCCTGAGCCCTAAGTATCCGGGAAAGGCGGTCTCGGGCAGGGGTCCCTTCCACCTTTCACTCTCCGAGCGTCCAGCTGGGGAGCCGCATTCACAGGGAGATCGCGAAGATGCCCGCGTCTGATGGCGTGAAAAGTGCGAAATACTCAGGCAACGTAAACAGCCACTGTGCCTCTGTCTTCCCGTGGGGCCATTCCCTTAGAAGGCAATTGACGACAGTCCCATAATTCACTCTGTTTTATGATAAAGACTTCGTCTGGGGTCATTGCCATGGTTTCTCTCTGCCTTGAAGCAGAGAGAAAAAAATGTACCAAGAATCCTGGTCTGTCTTCCTGAGAGCAAGGCTGCACCTCACCCTCTCTCACACCCCACCGTCTTGAGGCGACGTAGTGTTCCCGACCGCGGGGAGTGAGTCCGCGTCTCTCCCTCGCTCTCTCTCTCTCTCTCTCTCTCTCACACACACACACACACACACACACACACACACGGGAAACCAGTGCGACCACATTCCAGCTCTTGTCCTATGCATCTGGTTATTATACAATTATTAACTTCTTAAAGATGCAAATCCATGTTAGAGAATGTTACTGCTGAGGCGTCTGTACAGAATCACTGTAACTGCTATTTCATTTGCTAATTGTATTAAGGCCAAACCAGACTGCTGAGAAGTTTACAGAATTTTCATGGTGCATCATGGGGGTGCTGTCTCTGCAGAGGCCCCCGCCCGGGCCTCGGAGCCCCTCCTCCCGCTGGGAGGAAGAGGCCAGGGCTTCGTGCGTGCCTGCCCTCAGCTCTCGTTCCCGTGCTGCCGCAGGGAGCCGGGGGGTCGGACGGCTGAAGAGGCTAATGCTGTGGCCCCACGCCACGCCGCCACCGGCAACTTGAAGGCCGCAGCTCATGACACTTCCTTATCGCTACAGTACGGACCGCTTTTATAGAGCCACGCAATGTATCGCTGGATAAGAACATATTTAACCCTAATATCCCCGTACAGTACCCAGATGATGTTATTAAAGGAACAGTGCTTCCAAGATGCAATACGTAGCAACTGAGCATATTTAGCAATAACTTCTATTTTAATATAACTTAGGAAAGGAACCAATAGCCATGGTTTTCTTTTGGAGGGGGGAGGGATTACCTCCCTCATTTTATATCCTCATGGATGATGGAAACAAAAAACCAATACTTACATCTCAGTGGCAGCCCATTTTTCATGTTGTTTCAAGTTTTATAGACCTGCACGATAGTGCTGATTTGCGTTTACGCGGCGTCACTGAGAAGGGGGATGCGCCGAGGCCCGCAGCGGCCCGAGGCCGCCCTGCCACCTCCTCTGTCTCGTCACAGTGTAGCTTACGTGACCCCACAGTGCTGGCAACTACGGGGCCAACCTTCCAGGCATTCTCTTCCAAAGTTTATCTCCTGAATAGTTTTGTAACAGTTTGTGTTCCTGACACATGGAGTCAGATGTGTAGCAACCAAGAGAAACAATGCCTAACATTTTCCATTGTCAAAATATGCGTACGGAGGCTACGCTGCCCAGTGTGAATTTTTCCAGCTCACACATGTGGGATGACATCACAGAAACCACAAAAGCAACACATTAAACTCCGTGAGAGCGACTGCTCCTGACTGGTCTCGGAGGGGGTGTTTTCATGCCTCCTTAACTTCATGGGGCGTCCTCAGGCAGAAAGCTGGGGCCACTGTTCCCTGGCAAACCGGCACTGCACAGCGGTGCCTCCCGGGGAGAACAGCGGACGCTCCGACCTGTGGCCCACCGTCCGCGGGAGCCGTGAGCCCCAGGCGCTGGCGAGCCCATGCGTCCCGGCCGCGTCTCGCCCGGCACCACCGGAGCCGGCGAGGGCTGAGCTGCCGGGCCGGCCACCCTTCCCTTGCAGCCTCGCCCTCGCGGTCCTTCCCCGCGGACTGGTTCCTCTGGGCACACGGGCCGCAGAGGGCACCCCCCCCGCCGGTGTCCTGGGAGCAGGGGGCCCGGGGCTGACCTGGGAACCCTTCCTCACTGCCAAACCCAAGCGACCCAGATGAACCTCATACCAACCCGCCCCAGTGCCCCCCAGTGCCAACACTGGCGCCCCGGCGTGACTCACCCTGTGGCTTTTGCACACCCGGTGGCTGGTGGGGGGCGTGGCAGGGACCACCTTTTCTCCTTCCCGCGGCCACAGAGGCCAGCCCTTGGCTGCCCGCTCCTCCCCGTGACTCCTGAGCAAGTCCGTGAACACACCTGGGCGCAGGTGGCCAAGGCTGACACGTCTGTTTGCCTCTCCTCGTCACCCAGACACAAGCTCCTCCCTCAGGCCAAACCCAGCGCTCCTGGCTCTCCAGCCCCGACAACCCCTGCGTTTGCTTGTGGCCCCTTTAGGCCGAAGCAGGGGCTGCCACGGCGTGTGGCTGCCCCCACAAGGCTGCCCACCGGACGCCCAGGGCCCAGCCTTCCCCAGGGCTGCGGCATGGGGCCACCCCGCCAGCCTTGCCCCCGCACAGCCCCGCCCCCTGGCCCAGCCCCCACAGCGACTTCCGCCCAGGGACTCATCCCAGTGAGAGGGGGCAGCCAGGCAGGACGCAGAACGCGGGCCTCTCTCTGACCACGCGGCTCTCCTGCCGCCCTCTCCAGCTCCTATTGGTGTCTGTCTCTCTTAAGCCGGTTTGAAAGCCCTGAAGCAGCCCAGGGCTCACCCCAAAGCAGGCCCGTGCAGCTGAGAACCATGTCTGCGCAGTGAGGGGCTCCCGGAAGCCACTTGCCTACACGGGAATGAGCTGTCCCCTGCCTCCCATAAAGACAACCCTCTCTTTCCTTGGGGACAGCAGTGGCAGCGTATAGTCCAGCCACTGAGAGCCTGTGCCGTGTGAGAAGAAACACTGCATCTAACACGGATACAATACTCTGTAACGGTAGTCACGGCCGGAAGATGGAACTCACCATGTTGGTCCTCGGTGTGGCCCAGCCTCCCATGACCACTTGCTCTTCCATGTCGTCCTCAAACCCAAGTCCTGTCTCTTTCCTGTGAGTCTTCCTCCCATACAATAAATGTTTAGTCTGCAATATAGCACATTTTACATCAGACAAGAAAAAACAACCGCTAAAATGTGATCATTTTAGTTTTACAGAGAGGTGGAGCGATGCCTGTGTTCACGGCCTGTAAGCAGGTACTTCACTTGGACAGTGACTGAAAAAAATATGCCCAGTTAGGAAACAGAAAGCCCCCAAAGCATCCCAGACAGGACCGGCAGAGGCCAGGGGTAGGTGCTCTCGCACCTCCTCGATCAGGTCACCCTGGGAGCCGGGCTGGGGTGGGGGCGGCCCACAAGGAGGGGCAGGTTGTGGCAACGTCACGTGGTATCACTCTCAGAAGCTGGCCCAGGTGGCTCGGCACAGCCAGCGCAGCGACTGAAAGACGCGTCAGCCACTGGCCCCTCTCCAGTTTGCCAACTGTCTGTCACCGGCCTCCTCACGGTGCAGCCCGTTACTTTTGTGCACACTTCTCACCGTGGGGCTCTCTCCAGATGACACAGCCTGCCGTTTCCATAGGAAAAAGTCATTGTTAAGAATATTATATCCAATAAATGGTGTACAGGTCAATACGGAGGTGTGTCTCATTCATTACCGAGGATGCTACCGAATGGGGAAGGGATCCTCCTGTGGGAAGACAAACTGCATCCTCGTTCCTTGAGAGAGACATGAGGGAAGTTTGGATCCGTACTCAGGAGTCGAAGGAGACAGGCGAGCCGGGGGCGGGGACGCGCGCTGCCAGCCCCGGGCTGGTCAGGGGGCGGGCAGGAGAGAAGGAGAGACCTTCCCTCCCGTATATGCACCTGGGGTGGGCGGGGGGCCTGACTCTCTTTTCTTTTCTTCTTTATTTTTTTTTTTTTTTTGAACAATGTGAATGCAAAACCTATCAAAATAAATTTTGTAACATTCATCTTATTCACAGAAGAAATTCAAAAAGCAAGCAAGCAGAAATAAACATTTACATGAGACTTATCCAACATGAAAATCTAAGCATAATAGAAATCTACTTACAATTTTAAAAAAAAAATAAAGAACAAACGAATACAAAGAATAATGGATCTACGGAGTGGTAACAAGGTCTTTCTGTTCTTACCACCCTCCACCCATGATAACACAAGTAGTCAAAAAATAAGTATATAGAAGACCTCAAACATAGTTAATAATGTAGATCAAATTGATATGTATCAAATGGAATGCTTCAGACATTACAGAATATCATAACTTCTTTCAAAGGCCTCTGGAAGTATATGTACATGTGTGTGTTTATAATTTTGTATATTGAGCCACAAAATAAACTCAAATCCCAAATGCTACAAATTCTTGAGATTATAATGCACTATAAGAAGAAAAACAATTCTCTGCCCTAAAAGTGTGGCCAGTCAAGGCACACACCTGGGTTGCAGGCCAGTTCCCCAGTAGGGGGCGTGCAAGAGGCAACCGATCAATGTCATCTCTCGAACATCGATGTTTCTCCCCCTCTTCCTCCCTCCCTTCCCCTCTCTCTAAAAATAAATAAAATCTTTTAAAAAATAAATATCTAATAACCCAAGTCACCAACTTGACAGATTGCAGGGAAATATGCCATATTATGTTTACCAGAGATGCAAAAAAGACATTGATAAAATTCAATATCCATTCCTGAGTTTCTAAAAATCTGAATAAAATAAGACTGGAAACCATCGGACCTGAGAAGACACTAGTGTCATTTGGGGAAAATTAAATACACAAATATCCAACGGGGCCTCGGGAGCAGCCATTCCAGGTTCGGTTACCCTGCAACAATGAGCCGCTGCTAAGGATCAGCGACCTGCAGTGTGAAAGGGTTACCCCTCCTCGCAGGGTGGGCGGGGCCCCGGGCTCACACGGCGGCCTCCAACTGGGTCACAGCGGGTCTTGTGGCAGAGGGATGGGAAACGGGGCGATTCTTAAAACTCTGGCACTGGAGGCAGGAGCCATTTCTACTCACATTTCACTGACCCGAGTCAGCCCTGTGCTCAGGCCCAGCCTTCGCTCGGGAGGAGCTACGTGGCCACACGTGCTTCCGGAGAAGGGAGGGTGCACCCCCCCTCCCGCAGGTGGCGCTGCTGAGTACGGCCCATGGAAGACAGAGAGGAGAGTATGGTGCTTGTCGACAGTGACCACTGCAGGGAGGGGCGCCTTGGAAAGTTGTAACTACGCTCTGATTTTTAGAGAGATTTAAAAAACCTAATGCAGGAAATGTAAAGGAATATACTTTTGTACAAAAGGTAAAACACTAATGAAATGTCTCAGGAGAGGACTCTGTTATGACCCACATGTCTAACTCCTAAATTCTGTGAATTGCATGAAACACAGGGCTGAGAACGGGCAACACTGGTAAAGCTGGGTGCTTGCTCCCTGCGCCCTTGCCCCCAACTCCAGTGCTCTCATTTCCTTTCACTGGCATTTCCTTGCCGAGAAAATCGCGCCCCCCCCGCAGACCCCTGGGGCCGGGGTAGCCAGCGTCTCTCTGGAGACACCACACACACACGGCCTGCTAGCGCACGCGGCTGACTTTATGTGCGTCTGCCGGATCAAAGCTCCCCCACATTTGCGCCTAAGCCCCCAACCAGCAGACCTCGCTAAGGTTAACTCCTGCATGTCTCTGCGCTGCGTGATCAGCCTCAAAGCACATTTCTGTTCAGAGGCTGAATTTAATATATTCTTTGGCAAAGCGGTTGACCTGCCAGCAGGCCGGGCCTTTCGTGGCCAAGGCCCGAGGATATGCAAGCACGTTCTCAGACAGGTCTGTTTGAGAAAGGCTGACCCTCCGCCAGACACCTCCAACAGAGCCGCATCGGAGTCTTGCACCGCAAACGTTGTGCTTTGATGTGAGGCCAGCGGCTAAGGAGAAAACTTGGCACGTGGCCTCCAGGGCTTTCAGGAGGAACGTCAGTCCAGGACGGAACACCAGCCTATGACACCTCCTGGAAGGCCTGACGTCAGGCAGAGATGCTGTCATTGAAACCACGCAAGGGACACAATCCCCACTAGGTCCCGGAGTGGTTCAGAGGACAGCATGGGAGGGGGCGGGGGGGAACGTGGGAGACTGTGTGTGTTTGTGCAGCTTCGCCTCTGAGTCCAACAGGCACAAGTGCAAGCAGACACCCCCGTCTGCAGATGCCCGGTGCCCACAGACGACAGTACAGTCTCATGCACTTGGGTAAAGAGGTGTATTTCAAAGTGGGAACGGATGTATGTTACAAAAGTCACTGTGAATCTTCAACTAAATAAATAACCAAATGCCTAGCCCTCGAAGGGGCAAGACTGCACGTGTGTAGGGCAACGGTCATGGTTTGCTTTCTGTCACCCGGCTTTCGGAGCAAAGCGGCGCCCGGGTCAGCGGACAGAAGGGACAGCTGGCTGCTTTGGTGTCTGCTTCTTCTTCCTTTCTTCCAGTAAGGAGACTACATTCTGGATCAACAAAAACAGAGGAATGTAATCCAAGGGCTTGGGGTGGTGGTGGGTTTTTTTTCTGTCTTAAGTACTACAAAAGGAGCCTGGAAAGACGGAAAGAGGATCCCAACCTGTCTGTCGAACACTCTGGCCATTTCCAGGACGCCTTTGCCAAACTGAAAGAGAAAACAACAAAACGACCTCACGCACGCGCTTCCTTCCCCACCAGGGGAAGGCCCACAAGCGCCACGGACCGCTCACCTCGTTCTTCACACTCGCATCCGCCCCTTTGTCTAGAAGTAGCTGCACTAGCTCCTCGTGATTATTTAACACAGCCACCTGAGAAGAAAAAACAAAGGCGGGGCGCGTGGGCGGCACCCCTGAGCAGGCAGGTCCAGGAGAGCCGCCGGCCTCCTCAAAGGCGGGGCCGTGGCGCTTAGCCGGGCAGGCCTGTGTACTGTCACCCTACAGCGGTGACACCTGCAAGGAATAGGAAGTGGCCCCTGCCTTGCTCCACGCTGAAATGACATGGGAAATGCTGGGCCAGAGCGTACAGGCGGCAGTGCCTTCTCTGTATCCACAGATCTGTTCTGACCCTACAAAGGCCTTGGGGAGGGGGTGGGCGACTCTGAAAGAGGTATTTGTTAAAAAAACAAACAAACAAAAAACAGGGCGGCGACACTGTCATGCCTTTAGTAACAGGCCATGGGGAAGCACACGTGACCGGAGCCCAGGGCTCCGGCGCGGCAGAGCCCACACGAATCGCCTGCTCAGAGAGAACCCCGCACCGCGCAGCCCCGCAGAAGGCCAGGCTGCGCTCTGAAGCCTGGCCTACCATGAGCGGTGTCTTTCCATCTTTGTCTTTCACGTTCACGTCGGCGCCGGCTTCAATGAGCAGAGAGGCGACCTGCTGGTTCCCCGAGACGGCGGACACTCTCATGAGTGGGGTCCAGCCGGAGCCAGTGTCCACCGCGTCCACCTGTGAGGAGGCCGCAGGAATAGGTCTCAGTCCAGCTTCGGTTTCTTAAAAGCGTTCATCAGAAACTTACCAAGGAATCCTCGCTTGCCCAAACCCCCGAGCTGAGATGGCGGTCTTTCCAGACCCAGTAAGGGGTGAGTGGGCCATGCCAATTCAGTTCACATGGATGTACGTGCGGCGAGAAGCTATGTTAGCATCACTTTGGAGGGCGCTGAGACGCCCCAGAGCTCCCCACAGGGACCCTCAGCCACGTTTGGTTCACATGGAAAGAGGGGGTGGAAAAGGGAATCAAACATCATCACCTCACTCTTGGCTCCCAGTGAACCACCTGCCTTAGTCTCTCTTGCCTACCTGGCCTCGCCTGTTTTTGAAATAAAGTTCCTTTTGCTTACTTTTAAGTATCTCTGTTAACAGCTTTAAATCACTCCTGGTACAAGATGGCACTATACACTCTCACCCTTATACCTGCCAGTTCGTATCAGTTTGAAGCAGGCGCCTACAGGTAAACACCAGGCAACCAGGTCTCGCACACGGATCCTAGCCTGGGATGCGCGCCGGCCGGGACCTTTTCCCGGGCCCCCCGCCCCGCGCAGACACGGCCGCTTCCCATCAATCAGCCCAACGCCAAGAGCCCTCAGCCTGGAGCTTTACAAGGCATGTTTCAGAAGGGGAGGGAGCAGAGGCCGCCGCCTCTGTGTCCCAGGGAGGCCTCATCGACCCAGGAAGCGAGGCCCTGAGCGAGCACCCGTGTGCGTGGCAGAGACGCACGCCTCGTTCTGTGTCAGACGTACTCGTCGACACCCGCAGCTGCCGGAACACACCAGCATGGAACCTGTGGGGCGTCTCAGGTTGTTTGTCTGTATGAGATTTCCCGCCGCGACTTCATTAGGGTTTGCGGTTTGTCCTCGCGCAAACAACAAGGAGCTCTCGGGCCACAGGTTTCAGCACATTTCAATAACAAATGACCACCTCATAGTCCATGGTGCTTTAGACATTTTTCAGTGCATGTCCCACACATTCCCTCCTTTGGTCCCGAGGGTCAGGCAGGGGTCGGGGCTTGTAGTCCTGGTTTATAAACAATTAAACCTTTCCTGAGGCCCCATGGCTTAGAGGATGCAGCAAAGGCTCCCGCGTGGGTCAGCCCCTCTCAGTATAAAGGTCCTGTACGTGGGGTGAGGGTGGCAGCCATACCCCAGTTCCCTCCAGGTCCCTCCCATGGTCCCCCAAAGCGGCCATGGACCACCTGCCAACCACGGAGGGGCTCGTCCTGATGCCCCCCACCCGCCACCTGCCAGCCACACAGAATCTACAGTAGACACATTTGAGTAGCTCCAGCACCACGAAAAACACGGAATTTACCCCAAAGCCACGTGTTCCTATCTGAAGCCCAGAGAGCCGACACTTGCCAAATTCCCGTGTGTCCATGTTCACGGCACAGACCCGCCCCTGTTCCATCCAAAGCCAGCCTCGTCTGCACCTACAGACCTTGCCCTGGGCCAGAGCCATGAGCCGGGGTGTTACAAATCACCAAGCCAGCGCCACGTGGCTGTCTCGGCCACAACAGGAGGAGCTGGCCCGGCCCACCACCCAGGCCTGCAGGCCCATCCTCCAGATCTTTGTGCATGTTTCTAAAAGACAAGAAATGCAATAAAAAGGACTATCTTAATGACTAAGATTGTCCCTTCAAGGGACCCTTTTCTCAGCCCCCAGGAAGGGGCAGCAGGACTTGCGAGAGCCCACCCCGTGAGTCCGGCCCTGCCTGGACCACGCTCCGCAGACCGAGCGGAGCAAACCTATGAACGCCTTCCCGGCGACCGGGCTCTCCTCAGCCTGGGCGTATCTTCCAGCCAGCCCCTCACTTTCTCAGCGCCCTACACCGTCTTGCAGCCATAATTAGGGTGGCGTTTGTTCTTTATTCCTATTTCCATGCCTTGGAACTTTTGTCTTCCTTGGAAGGCTCGAACTAAATAAAGCTTTCGGCATTGCCAGCAGTCACCGTAACTGAGCCAGTTCCAGTCACCTGTCTCCAGAAGCCCCATCTGCACTTCAATTTGCTAAGCCAAGTCTGTGCTTGCTACCGTCCGCTCGTTCTTTGGAAGTTCGCGAAAGGACTAATCTTTAAAGCAATCCGAGGGGGGAAACAATCCAATTGTAACGGCAACAAGAGCGACCAGAGCGGCTGTGGCTGTGTGAGCCCCCAGCACCTGTGCGTCTGCAGCCCTGGGCTGTCCCTGGGAGAGGCCCAGGCAGACGGAAGGACGAGGCAGATGAGGGGTGGACAGGGAGCCCACAGTGCAGGTGACATGGGCGGAACCAGGTCCTGCTCGGGCGTCGGCGCCGTTTCCTTCTTCCCACCCGAGAGGAACCTCTGGGACAGACTGAAGCCTCACCGTTACAGCGGTTCTGGCTGGAAAGGGGCAGGCCCTGCTCCTCTGAGACCCTGAGGCAGGCCGTCCCAGGCCCTCCCCAGGCGGCTGCGCGGGCCGCGGAAGCCCCTACCTCGCAGCCGTCCTTTATCATCCACTCGATCACGCCGCAGTGGCCCCCGTCTGCGGCCCAGTGCAGCGCCGTGCAGCCCCCCAGGTCTCTGGTCTTCCAAGAAGCGCCGTGCCTCCGGAGGTACTTCACAACGTCCAGGTGGCCCGCGTAGCACGCCAGCATCAGGCTGCAACAGACGGAGGGGGGTGTCGGGCCAGGAGCCCCATCGCCAAGCTCAGGGGCACATTTTACCCCGCCTGGCTTAGAGCTAAGGGAGAAACCCCGGTATCAGTGGAAAAGCCACGGAAATTATTCACATACAGTGTATGTGCATCCAGCACCTGGTGGGTGGGTAGACAAAATGCAGCATAGCCATACCATGGAATATCATTTGGCTGTAAAAAGGGAATGCAGCTCTGATGAATCCTACAACGCGGATGACCCTTAAAACACTATGATACATAGAAGCAGCCGGGGCAAAATGCCGCATTGATATGACTCCATATACAGGGGCTGGCAAAGGAGGTTGCAGTCCTGAGCGCGTGAGAGAGTAACACAGCGACGGCGGCCGTCACAGCCTGCCCGCCTCTCTCCACGGAGCGCCCGGAAGCCCGCCTCCGCCCGGGCCTGCCCACCGAGGGTCCCGAGCAGGTTGGCCTCTGGCTCCAGGGAGCCCTGCTGGTTGCCTCGGGCTGGGGCGGGGAGGGCAGCGGGAGGGAGAGACTGCGTCCCCCCGGGCCGCCGCAGAGCCCGGCCTGGGCCTAGGCAGGAGGGGGCCGCACAGCGGGTCAGTATATTTTCAGATGCTGAAATGCGCGTTTTAGAGGGGAAATTTTATGGTATATACGTTATATCTCAATAAAAAATAATCACTCTAATTGAGTAAAACTTGCAATTTTAAAACACCCACCAGTCCATGCTGATATTCAAAACAGAGTAAAGAGCTGGTTTAATAGTTTGGTGTCACAAGAGAATTTTTTTCCCTTTCCCTAAATATCGGTATTACAGAAAGCACACATGTCCCCTGCTGCCAGAGGATGAAACGCAGTCCCACCCCCTGTCGATGAGGAAAAGCTCCTTCTACAGAAGCCTCCCGGCGAATAAATGCAGAAGGAGTCACGGAACCAGGGAGTCACTTTTGCGCAACTCCCAGTGAAATCATGGATTCGGGCAAGGGGCCTCGGTGGGCACTAAAGTTACCTGGGAAAAGGTTAACAGAGAACAGTAACGGAGAACAGGCTGCTCACCCGGTGCTGGACCAGCGGCCCGAGGCGGCTTTCCAGCTGCAGAGGGAAACTCCATCTTCACCAGGAGAGCCTTGGCCGCCGCACCCTGGCCGAAGGATCAAACCTAGAACCCCCCACTGTGGGGCCACCGGCGGCTCGGGCCTCCAGAAGCTACTCTACAAGCTCGGAAGTGTCCTTGCTGAGAACGTACCCAGAACCTAACCACGCTTGTTCCCCAATGTTAACTAAAGGGATAAAAGGGTGAGTCAACAAGATGATTGGTCTGATCTCCTCGAGGAGTCATTGTGATGAGAAAAAAGAGAGAGATTTTTAAAGGTTATAGGGTCAGCCTAGAATAAAAGAGACTAAGAGCAAGGCAAGCGGATGCAACGTGAGGGCCTCGACTGGTCCACAGCCTCGTCCCGCAGCCCCAGGCGTAGCAGTGGGAGGCCAACCGGGGGACAAGCAGGAGGCGCCCGTGGGTGACGGGCATCCGTGACATTGGGGGATTGGGTGGACCGATGAGATGGGTCACGCAGGATGCTGTCCTGGCTTTAGGAGATATGAGCGGAGGGACCGAGGGGTGGAAGGTCCCGATGCCTACCACTTACTTTGAAGTAGCCCCCCAAAAAGCACATAAAACTGTAAAGAGAAGCAACTATGGCAAAATGTCAACGACCGGCCAACCTAGGCGGGAAGAAGGCCGCTGTCTGTTGTACTATCCTGTCAACTTTTCTACACGTTCAAAATTCTCCAAATAAAGAGTTGGGGTGTGGGGGAGGAAGGTCTCCCCACAGGGAAAGACAGTTCATAGCCGAATAAATTTAAAAGTAATATAAAAATGTTCAGCCCTGCTAGTAATAAAAAAATTAAAATTTTGAAGTGTTCTACCAAGCCTCTGAGTGATTAATCAAACGCCAGGTGCTGAGGCCCAAGCCCAGTGCCCAGGACCCCACGCGCCTTCGTCCCCAGAGAGCCTCACCCTGGGGGAGGGTGGCCCTTCACCTCCCGGGGGCTGCGGGGCTGGCTTTGGAGGGACACCGCCAAGCTGCCTCCCAGAAAGGTTGGGTGAATTCACACCTCTGCCCGCTACACTCGCCCAATGCCAGCACTAGTATCATTTTCTAGTGGACACTGTCATAGATAGACCATTTTTAATTTCTTTATTACTATCAGGGCCAAACATTTTTCATATTCATTTTCATTTATTCCACTATGAATTGTCTTTTTGTGTAAACTGCTTTGTTCTACTCTGTATAGTGTTTCGAGGGGTGTATGTGTGACTTTCTAAATGTTAAAAATGCCAGTCATTTGTCTATAATGTCTGCAAAAAAGTCCTCAGATTGTCCTTAGGTTTGCAATTAGGTTTTACAGAGGGAGTAATGTATTCTTAATGTTTTTCTTAGTGATTTCGTGTGATCCTTTTGTCTCTCATTTTACAAGATCGGACGGATACATGCCTGTGCTTCCCAGTAGTTTTCTATGGTTTTGTTTTTCACATTTAATTCTTAATTTACCTGGAATTTATTTTGGTACATGATATAAAGGCCAGGGTTTCACTTAATTTTTTTCCTTCAAACAGCCTATTTTTTCAATATCTTCGTCATTGGTTTGTGTTATTCTCACCAACAATACCCATTTCAATAAAATGATCAAATCTGCTATTTTAGATGCAAATGCACCATTTTCTTTTCATGCTTGAATTTTCTCTATAACTGCCATTATGTACCCTTTCAATTTTCTAATTTTTTCTTTCTTCTTAGATTTACAAACTAGAAACTGGTCTATTTTATTACAGAGATTTTTATTTAAGAGGTCACACTTACACTTCTCAATTTTTATTGTTTAATTAATCAGTTTCTACTGCTATTTGAATTCTTTCCTTCTCCTGCCTCTCCAGCTTTTTCTCTCTTCATTTTCCTTTTTAAATTGGTATTATTCTCCTGAGTTGATTGATGGCTTAGTTCCAAAATTACCTAAGAGCTCTGTGGAGCACTAATGTTTCAATTTGCAAGTGATTTTTAAACTGTTATTATTCCAAATCTCTCTCTGCCTTGTGCCCAGCGAGCACGGCGAGGAGCGGCTGGCCGCCCTCGGAATCAGCCTCCCGGGACACGCGTCTGCGGCCACAGAGCCGGGGCCGGGCGCAACACCAGCGACGGAGTGCCAGCGGGGCCCTGCGCTTTGCTCGCCGTCCTCCCCAAGCGCCAAGCAGAGCCCGGCACGCCGCAGACAGCCAATGAAGAGCAGTTGATTTAAATTAAGTGATGAGACCTAAGTACTAGATCAGTGGTTGTTTTGAAGCCTTTCTCGAACATGCCTTCGCCTCCGGAAGCTGTGTGTTTTCGTAAGCTGCTCCCGTGGGATACTCAGCCCGCTCCCCGAGAGAGGTTCTTGGGTCATGCCTTGGGGTTGCTGTTAGCTTCTTCGGAAACACTAGACACTCGGCTCACAGAGTGAAGCACAAGGTAGCGAGAGCCCCTGGCGGGGCACAAAGGGCCAAGGGGCGCAGCGCCTGGTGCCCCGCACGGAGCTCGTGGCCGCGACACCTACAACCGTCACCCCTGAGTGCTCGGCGTGTGCCGGGCCCTGACTGGCGGAAGGTGCGTGCGTTATAACAGACGCCCGTTGAGTGAAGTGACAAGGAAATGAATTAGCCATTTTTTGTTATCCCATCTTTCCTTTGTGATAGGGTGCTTGACTGCTCCCACTGTCCAAAACCAACAAACAAACAAAAACAAAAACTACATCACATCTTTGCACTAAGTCAGAAATGCAAAGCCCAGTAACACAAGCCTGGGAACATCTAGGGCCCATTCCAATCACCTACCTGTCCTTGCCACTTCCGTTCCTCAGGTTCACGTCCGTGCCGTTAGAAATGAGGAGCTGCACCAGCCTGAGGGAAAGAAGGTAAAGGAGCTGGATCAGGAGCTAGGATGGTAGGAACCTGCAGTCGCCCACCACAGCCGACCGGCACTCTGTGCAGGACACAGCTGCACGGCACTTTCCTGCCTGTCTGCACAGGCGGCCAGCCCGCTTTAAAGTCGAGGGGCTCTTAAACCGGAAAACGGAACCCTGCCTCTCCACGCCAACAACAGCAGCAAAAAGAATGGATGCCCTGGCCAGTATGGCTCAGTTGGTTGGAGCTTCGTCCTATAACACAAAGGTTGCAGGTTCGACTCCTGTCAGGGCACATTCCTAGGTTGTGGGTTTGATGCCCGGTCCCAGCGTGGGCACATGCGACACCAGGTCTGGGTTTGTACGATCCCCGGTCTGGGTGCGTCCAAGAAGTGACCAATTGATGCCTCTCCCCCGCATCAATGTTTCTCCCTCCCCTCCGCCTATCTCCTCCCTCCCTCTCTCTCTAAAAGCAATGGAAAAAAATGTCCTCAGATGGGGGGGGGGGAATGACATTTTACCCTTACATAAATTATCCATTGAAAACAAACTGTACCACATAAACGAATTGGACCATCCAACTATAGTTCACTGTCAATTTAATGACCATTTTAAATATATTATCAAATGCCAGCACTTAATGAAAATAAATTTTTTTTCAAAATGACATTGTAGTTAAAATATGAATAGGACTAAAAATAAGCTATTAGTATTTAAGTCTATCTCCATGTGGAAGAGAGAAAATAAAGCATATCAGTGAAAACGATATCTTAGCAACCTATCCGGGAAGCCTGTTTTCCAGAATTAATATCTCTCTTTATTTTTTTAAAGAAATTCCGATTCCAATAACCAGTTGTTTCAGGATATATAAAATATAGTGTAAAATATAATTAAACGGCAACCTTTTCCCCACCACGTCATTATACATTTTCACGTTCTCTCCTGCATGTCGTATAACTTTATGAGAAAAGCGGCTGAGTTTTCGCCCAGCTGTTTTTGTACAGGGTACAATTTTGGAAAGAGAAAAAGGGGGGCTCCCCCATCACCCTTGTTCCTCCCCCACCCCCGCCGGGCGCCTCTGGGAGAAGGACCCTCCGACCGCCCGCAGGGTAGATCCGCGGGCGGGGCTCACCTGGTGTACCCTTTCTGGGCAGCCACCATCAGAGCCGTAAAGCCCAGCTTATTGGGAACATCAACCTTCACGTTGCTGGGGAAGACACAGAGAGATTAGCATGCTCGGCGCGGCTCCCTGTGGATTCGCAGCTGACGTCTCCTGCGGGGCACAGGTGGCTAAAATGGTTCATTTTACTGAAAATTCCAATTTTTTCTGGGCCATTAAATTGGTGTTGTCCTAGACTGCCCTGCTGAATATTTTAAAGGATTCAAATTCACAAGAAGAGGAGAGAAAATTGCTGTAATTTCACTTCAAAGAGGCACTCCCTTCAACTCAAAACCATTACGCAAGCCGATAAAACGCTCCGTGAAGAACACAGCCCCTTCAAGGAGCACGGACCCCGTCTCCACGCAGACTCTCAGCTCCAGGGGACAGGAGCCTCCACGGCGGCCACCCTCGCTTTCCCCTTGACTCCCATGTCACCGACGGGCATGCAAGCCTGCTCCCAAAGAGGAATACAGAGCTCTCACACCCCCCGCCTAGCAGTTTCCAACTTTTGTGGGGACCTGCTCTTTCCCAAAGTTCGGAGCCCCAGGTTACAGGGGACTTGTCTTCTAAGGCACTCAGAACTTCTGGTTCAAAAAGAATCCCTACTCCCCGGCCAGAAAAAAAGAAGGCAATCTTACCTTTTGCAGCAACATGGATGGAGCTAGAAGGTATTGTGCTGAGTGAAATAAGTCACTCAGAGAAAGACCATACCACATGATTTCATGCATATATAGAATCTAATGAACAACATAAACAAGCAAAATAGAAACAGATTCATAGATACAGAGAACAGACTGACAGCTGTCGGAGGGAAGGCGGTCGGAGGGACTGGATGACAAAGGGCGAAGGGATCAAGCCAAAGAAAACGTCATAGACACAGACAGCAGTGCAGAGATGGCCAGAGGGAAGGAGGGCGCGGAGGCAGCGGGGGGTAAAGGAGGGACGGACGGTGACAGGAGGGGACTCAACGCGGGGTGGGGAACACACGGTACAATATACAGATGATGTGTTATAGAGGTGTACCCCCGAGACATACACAATTTTATTCACCAATGCCACCCCAATAAACTCAATTTAAAATTTTTAAAAAAGAGAAAACAACTGGGAATACAATCACATTTACAATAGCACCACAAAAGGAAGGAGAAGGAGAAGTTTCAAATACCCCCTGCAGCCCCCGTACCAGCCATTGCCCCCCTGTTTTAGAGCCTTTTGAATTAGAAACAGTTGATTAGTGATTCCTCTGCTTCATCAGAATTAGATGTGGGCATTTGGGGGTCAAAATCTGCCTAAAAACCATGGCATACAAGCAAGAGTCAAAAATTATTTCTGCGAAGAAAATGTGATAACCAGACTTGTAATGTCCTTTTTCCAGTTTGCAGTAAATAAGTACCAACAAGAACGCGTACATGCGGCTCCATCATCCTGTTTGCTAACGATGCTGCACTTACATCAGCCACCTGAGGGCAACACGGGCACCCGCGTCAAAGGCATGGGAAGCTTTCAGAAAATAAAGCTGCACCATGCATTTCTCTGCACTTCGTGGGCACTAAAAATTAAAATTAAGAAATCAAAATGGCAGCGTTCTCTCACCCTCCTTGAAGTATTCGAACCAGCAAATCTTCGTCATTCACATTGACTGCTCGGTGAAAATGCTCACTACTTATGGGTTCTCCTGGGGAAAGCAGACGGAAAGAAGTCATCTGAAATACAGGGTCTGGCCCAAATAACGTCCCTGTTTTATAACAAAATCTTTTATTACAAAATCGTGAGTATGTAGCCCTGGACACATAGTTCAGTGGGTTAGAGCATTGTCCTGACACGCCAAGGTTGCAGGTTTGATCCCTGGACTGGGCGCAGACAAAAATCAGCTGATGATGCATCATAACTACATAATTCTGTAATGCGATAACATCGCACTCGAGCACACCATAGGACATTTTAGGTGAAATGTTTGAATTAAAACTATAAATTATTACACCCATATTATTACCCTACCAACTCCACTCAAGCAGGCGTGACTCCTGCCAGCCCCTGTAGAATGAAGAAGGCTTGTCCCAGCTCCTCCTCCTCTGGCCCAAGGGGAAGTTTCTGTTTGCCCCCAAGAAGGCACCTGGCCATTCCAATAGGTATACTCACATTTCCCATCAATGCCCTCTTTTCCTGAGAAGCACGTTGTTTTCATATTCTAAAAGAAGAACATTTAGATCGTCCTAAAGGCCTGGGACATTTTCGAGTTATAGAAGTATTGCTTTGTGAATGTCCAATAACATTGGAAAATAATCCTCTTGGATTTCATAAGACTTAATAAATGTCTCTGGCGTGCAAGGAAAAGCTCCCCAATTGTCACAACATGCTGGGTTTTCTTTTGCCAAAGCCTCTAAACTACTTGAACAACAAATGAAAAAGAGACAGGCTGCTTTAACGTTTGAAATCCAAATTTTCAATCTTCCCAGGAATATATCATTCACATTGGCCTTGTCTCCTTGGCGCTGGTGGGGCAGAAGGCGTCCCACCCAGAGAGGCGGGCGTGGCCGGAAAGCTGGAGAGGGAAGAGAGCCCCCGCCAAGGAGAGCAGAGCAGGAGTCAGAGGAACAGCGTGGAGCAAAGGGAAGGCGCTGGAAGGGGGTGCTCTCTCGGACGCGGCAGCGTGACTCTTCGAAGAAGAGAACGGAGCGGCAGCGCCAACACGAGCAGAGGGAGAATAAAGGGATGCGTGAAAGAAGCCCACCTTCTAAGGCATTTATTTCAAGGCTCCATTTGTTTCACGTTCCATGACTGTCTGTTTTAAACAATTATGATCAAGCTTAACGATGGAATAAAGAGAAGCTCTTAGAATCGCATCTGGCACGTCGTGAGCCCCAGCGCGCGCCTGCCGTGGAGGCGCCGGCCAAGGGCCAGCGGCCGCCCTCGTCCGAGGCAGGCCACCTCCCCTCCCGCCTCCCACACTCAGAATATCTCCCCGACCCCGCAGGCAGGGGGCGGATAAGCCCCCATTCCAGTCACCTCCCAGGTCTCACCCATTCATCCAACGAATGGGCGCTCAGCCTTGCCGCCAAGGTCGCAGAGAGACCGGGACAGACACGTTTCTCCCCCGGCCGCTCACAGTGCGGCGCTCATGTTCAGCCTGGTGATATTCTAAACCCCACAAAGGACACACCCACCGCCTCCCTGCTTCCTCTGTCCCCCGCACAGCACCCCGGACTGGACCACCTCCCAGGGCTCCGTGTGCCCCCACCCAGCTGACAGCCTGGCCCGCAGGGGCCACCGGCCCCCTCCACCAGACGGGAAGTGAAACCCTCCCCCCACAGCTCCTTCTGGAGGAAAAGCTCTCCGGACAGAGTCCCAGGCCCAGGAGCCACGGGCCCCCGGTCTCCTCAGAGGACTTCAGCTGGGCATGTGCAGAGCAGAGCGGGGCACGGGGCCGCGGAAGGAAGAGGGGTCGCCATCAGTGACCTTGAACCGATAACCTTTCTCCTTTTTGGGAAAAATTCCTTTAAGCCTGGTTAAAAATGTTTTGAAATAACAGTTTTTTCTGCTGGAGCTTGCCAATGTCCTAAAGACTTTTTAGCCACGTTATACTTCCTTTTCATCATTCCACACATATTTTTAAACCGAGAGCTTTAAATAAAAGTATCAAGATGAACTGTCCAAAGATAATGCCCACACTATGCCCGGCCGTCTGAGGGAGGTCACGCCCAGCCTGGTGGCTCCGCTGGGGGCAGTGGAAAAGGGCAGAGGTTGCCCCAAAAGACACTTGGTAAAGTCTGATGCCATTTGGGGTTGTCACAGCTTAAGGGCAGGTGCTGCTGGCATCGAGCAAGTGCGGGCCAGGGATGGCACAGGACGGCCGCCCGTGTCTGCAGCGCTGAGGGGAGGAGCCCTGGGCGAGAGGGACGGGGACCGAAAACGGTCCATTACACGACCCACCCATCCTTCAGCGGGCACACGAAACCCACAGGAAGCTTCCCTTCGCTCTCGCTCCCCTGAAAGCTGGGGAGGGCGCTGTGGTGGGAGGGTCTCTCTTGTCCCCAAACAGCCCCCACTCCTGAGACTCTCAAACTTCAACTGCTACTGAAAATACAAGGAATCTGCATAAAATCAGCTAGAAGGACATAGGAAGTTCATCTTATTCCACTAAATCTCAAAGTGCGGCATCCTAACTGACATCCGACTAATGAAGCTACGTCTAGGACTTCACATTCATTCTGTGTCTAGGGCTTCTCACACTGCCCTGCAGACCACAGCACTGAGAGCCAGAACGGCCGAGCGGGCCGTCCCAGGCCGCCCGGGCAGGCCTCCGCCACGGCGCTCGCGGCAGCCGCGCCCGGCCACACGCCTTCCTTGGGTGTGTAGTGAGTGTTAAGGTGGCCATTGGGTCACTGTTTGCTTCCCTTCGTGCCAAGTGTTGAATACAACAGGCAGCATAAATAAGGAAATGTGATTCTCCCGCCCCCCGCAAATTGTTACATGAAAGAGGTGCTTAAACCCTACAACGCGCCAGAAAAGTGCTGACTCCTCGGGATTCTGAAGAGACTTGTCAAAGCGCACGCAGCGCGCCAGCCTGCTGAGCTCGCTCCCCGGTGCGTCCCGCCCTGCAAGCCCGGCCGCGTGCAAGCACCCGAAAACGAAGGACGTTCACCCCGTGCTTAGAAGCTGGGGGTTGTGCATCGTCGGGAGCAGGGCCTGCCGGTGTGAGGACATACCTAACCCTGCCGCCGGCTCAGGCCCTTGCAAGAGGCAGCAATCAGTGCTCTCACTCCTCATTCTGAGAACAAAGGGGCAGCTCCAGGAAGGGAGGAGAACAGCGCAGCTGTTCATCCCCCGGCTCCCGGGCTCCAGCAAAGAGCCGCAGTAACGGTCACTCGGCGGGACAGCTCTTCCTCAGCGTCGCCTCGTCGACCCCTTGCGGCCACGGGCGGAGGACACAGAGGCGGGCAGGGGTGGGCCGACGCATGGAAACATCTCGGTGTTTTCATGTGCTTGACGGGAAAACAGGAAAGAAAGAGGTCCTGTCCGCAGAGCAGAGCAGGTCTTTCTGCTCCCACGCCAGGCGAGAGGCGTGAAGAGCAGAGAGGAAATGCTGGGGGCGCCGCACGGTGCACGGCTCCCGCTCCCGCCCCCGAATCCCAAAGGCTCTGTGGGCCTGACCCAGGCGATGGCCGTCGATCTGAGCAACTGAACATAAGAAAGGCCTATTGGCCCTTGTTCTCCACTGTTTACCCCGCGTGTTGCAATTACCAGTGTTGAACTGAGGCTGCTGGAGGGAAGGCTGTCGGGGGGCTGGCCGGGAGGACCGCATGCCGCCGGGCCACCACTCCCGGGCGGGGCAGGGGCAGGGCAGGGCGGGGCGGGGCGGGGCGGCCCTCGGGAGCCCCACTCCTGTGCTGTTAAGAGGCTCAGTTAGCTGCAGAAGTTACATTATCACCCCCCGGTTGTAATGTGGCGATAACGCCTCGCATGGTGGAACCTAAGTCTCCATTAACAGCGGTGAATAAATGATGAGCTCATTGGAGAAGAGATTTGCCAATTAACAAGCGGCAGCGGTTTTTCTTTCTTTTTAAGGGCCCAGCTGATTAAAATTGCATGCCTCATTTAAGCAGGCGTCTCATGTTCTTTACCTGGGAAAAAGAGGCTGAGCATCCTTTATTCAAACAAAGTGCATGATTCATTAAAACACTTTCAAACTGAATGCAAATTATCCACCCACAGCAGAACTTCCACTGTTTTGTATCATGTGCACATTTTTAATTCTTTGTTTAGCATGTGCTGCCTCCTGAAGAGAGTCCGCTCTGGGCACCGTGACTACACAGCAGGTCCAGGAGCAGCAGCCAGCGGCAGTGTGCGGGGTGCCCAAGGCCGAGAGCGTGCCGCCCGTGCTGGGACACGCAGGGAGCCGCCGCGGCGCACGGGGGCAGCCCAGAAGCCCAGCCTCCATCACGCCCTTGTCCCTGCAGCAGGCCCGTCCCACTGCCCGTGGGAGCCACCGGCCGCAGGGACAAACGTCCTGGGCCACCAGAGCGGTTGCCTGGCACGGACAAGGCCCATCTGGCCCACACAGCCCTTGTCAGCTGACAGGCGAGCGGGCGACGGTTCTGCACCTGCACCCTCTCTGTGTGCACTTGGGCAGGAAGTCCAGAGACCGCGCCCCGGCCCGGCCGTGGTGTGAGGCGGCAGTGGCCACCTGGGGCTCGCCGGGGGGGCCCTCGCCGGGTCAGGGGGCCCCTCCCGGCTGGCAGGAGGCAGACCAGCTCCAGCAGCCATGAGAGTGAGCTGAGAAAACAGGTGCTTCTCCTCATCCTCTTAGCTTGGCCTCAGGCCTTTCCTTTGCCCATCCACCCATGCGCCTGGCCGAGCGTCCTAGACGTGCCTGACCGGTCACGCCCACCCCCCGGCACAGTGCACAGCAGGCAGGAGATGAGGAAGATAAACCCATAGAGTGAGACGCAGGAAGAGCACTGGAGGAGGGGACAGGCGGTGGCTCTGGGCCAAGGAGGAGCTACAGGGCAGCCGGAGACGGGAAGCCAGGCGGGGCCCCCGCCCTGAGCAGAGCTCTGCGTGCAACTGCTGGGCAAGCCAGGGGACGGGGGGCAGGGGCGGGTGCTGGAGGGCGATGCCCCAGAGAGAAGGGGAGAGAGGGGGCAGAGGAGTGTGGGGCTGGCCTGGGGGTCACGGGGGCAGCAGGAGGAGAGGAGGGAGCAGGGCGGTGGCCCAAGAGCACACCTAGCCCCGGGCTCTACGTGCCAACTGCCCCCGCTACCCTGCCTCTAGCCACCCTCCCTGCTGTCTGCCTCCTTCTCCCGCCTCTGAAGCTCCAGGAGTTCAATGGCTCCCAAATGCAGGCAAATGCCTTCGAAGTCCTCTCATCAAGGGACGAGCCCTCTGTCCTGACCACCTCCACACCTGACCGATTCACCTCTGAAGTCTCCTCGGATATTCGGTTCCCCACCAGCCAGCCGAGCACAGCACCGTTTGGGAATGCCCGCGCGAGGGTGCTCTCCACTGTAACTCAGTTCTCAGTTTGCTAAACTAACATCGGTCCCCTAATGCCTTGTTTGCAACTGATGATAGGACAACTGAGAACCTGAATTATCTTCAGTCCCCACAAAAGCGGCCATGACTAGGCGCCTAAAAGACACGCTGGGAAGCCACAGGGAGGAAAAATACACACATGCACACACACGGGCCACATGCTACAGCAACTGCATTCATAAATGACTTTACTCACAAGAGGAAGATTTCCTGTGTGCAACCAAAAAAAAGAAAGGAAAAAAAAAAAAAACCAACATGTCTGTGCTCCCAGTGAGTGGGCCGCAAACAGTTCTGGCCATTTTATCCTTTACAACATTCGAGGTCAAAATGGCGCTGGGCACACGCACCTTCAAGATGCTTTCGAATACCCAGCACAGAGAACATGAGCGCCCTTCCTGTGACCTGGGGCGGGGCGGGGAGGGGCAGCCCTCCCCCATCTGTGGACGAGCGGTGCTGTCCTTTCTCCCCGACGCACAGCGTCCCTGGGAACCAGCTCTGTGCATCCAGTCAAGGCGCACACACGGAAGTTGTCCAAAAGGACAAAACACGGACTGGCCCCCGGACCCTGAGGCCGTGCGACCTGCAGCCTGGGTCTCCAGGCAAGATCGCCCGCCCAGCCCGTGCCCCGTTGGCCCGTGTTCTGAGAGAGGTGCCCGCCCTTTTGCGCCAAGGCAGCACCCGGGCATTGCGGGCACAGGTCCAGCTCTGACTGGTTGCACAAGCAGACGTCCAAGTTGACGGCCAGGCCCTGCCAGGGCATAAGACCGCCGCGGCATTTAACAGTGGGAGCGGCTCTGCTCCTGGTCACACTGAGCCAGAGGCAGCCTGCTCTCCCTCCTCCCTGCCTGTCATGGCCTTCTCTCTTCAGATAAGTGAGTTCCCAGCATTTGCATACTCACTGGTCGTGGACACTGAGACCACTGGGCTGTACTCGTATTCGCCAGAGGGGCTGGTGACCTTCAGTCGAAACCTGTACAGGGTCCGCGGCTCCAGGCCTTCCACGACGTGCCTTGTGGCATATCCCCTAGACAGGAGGAGAGACACATGACACCAGGGACTGAGTTGGCGTCCTCTGGCAGGCGTGAGGAGAGCAGGCGCGTTGTGAACGCTGTCTGTTCTGGCACAGGTCTGAGCTGACCTAGCTCAGGCTCCCCTGCTAGACCATGAGGACCTCGCGCGCAAAGGACACATCTCGCATGGCGCCTCCCTGCAGGGCTCCGGCCGAGGCCTGAGGGCGCCTGCAAGGTCCTGCTCCTGAGCCCCTGCAGCTTGCAGCAGGTGGAGCAGCTCAGCTTCCCGCCGGAGGGCGAGGCCGCCTGGTGGGGGCGGCCCACCAAGAGACGCCAGACAGCGGAGGGAGAGGAAGAAGCCACGTCGGCCACCAGCTGTCCCAGGCGCCCCTGCAGAGGCGGCAGACACCGAGGGATGCCATTCGGGTCCTCCAGCCCCAGCCAAGACCACGGGGAGCAGAGACATGCCATCCCCGCCTGCCCCAGCTGCAAACTCGTGGGAAAATGTGTGAGTGGCTTCTACCCCAAACTCAAGGGTCATTTGTTACACAGCAGCAGATAACTGAGGCATCGTGTATCAGCAAAAAAGAAACTGTGCGCAAGGTGGTGAAGAAATAATACCGACCTTTGAATTAAGAAACCAAGGCACAGAGGAGTGTTAAAAATAGGTATAAATGCATTTACCATAAAAGTAAAAGCTCTAAAACAAAGATAAATATTCAGGAAAACTGCATGAGCTAAAACTTAGTAACTTTAAAATCTAAATTACACCAGCTTGGCACGCACAGTCTCCTACACGGATGGGCTGCACCGCCGTGAGCGCGGGTCCACCACAACAGGTACTTGACGCACAGAAACCGCGCCCTCAGTGGTCCGTGGCATCTGAGAAGATCCTTAGGAGCTCACTGAGGCCAGAATGCCCAAGTCTGCTTGCTAGGTGTCAATAACATAGTTCTAGACCAAGACAAGACCAAACGTGCCCCCCTCAAAATCCAGTGTTACCATGCGATCCCCCTGAAGCCAACAGCACCTCTGTGACCCCGGAGAGGAACACGCAGAAGTGTCCTAGAGAACGGATGTTACCAAACACCTCTGTGCGAGGCTGGGCGCTCCCACAGTATCTATAGGGATGGCCCCAAGGAGGGGGCCGGGCACAGCAGGGGACACAGGTGACCGCTGGGGTGACCGCTGGGGTGCCCACAGCGACTATAGCGCAGACTTAGCTATAAGTCCGCAGGAGGGGCTGGCTCCCGAGGACAGCACAGACACGGGTGACCAGCAGACCGTCCATCGAGCCTCGGGGAGGCTCAGCCCACCCTGCCCGTGGTGGCAGCAGAGGAGCCTTCTAACGCCTTCCACGAGAGCGGGAACTGCAGAGTTCTACGAAGGCGCGCCTTCTCTCTGCCGGCAGTCAATAAGCAAATATTTGACACAGAGCTGAGCAAACATGAAGCGCAAGACACTAACTGCTGCGCCTGCGGACAGTCAGTCCCCCGCCTTCTCTGGGCTCCGCCCCTGGCACTGCCACCCAGGCCCCTGCTGCCGCCCCAAGAACCCCCTCCTCCAGCCGGCGCTCCCCGCCCCCGCCCACAACCTCACCCCCGACGCCCCACCCTGCGCTGCTGCTGCGCCTGCCGCCTCCCGCCTCTGTCGCGCTGGCTGCGCAGGCCCAGACCTCAGTGCTGCCCGCGCGAGTCGCGGCTACTGCCCGCGGGTATCAGCCCCCCAAGAGTCTGCGCGCCTCCCCCATTGCGCTCAGACATGGCTGGGTGACCTGCGTGGAGCGCTGAAGCAGCAGCAGCAGAATTGTGTCATTCTGAGCAGAAAATTCAAGACACACCAGGCCATGCCCTCGTCCCCGCCGGCCACAGGGACGGGCGGAGGCCGCCCCACCGGCCTGGGCTGTGCAGGGGAAATGGGGGCCGCAGGCGCGGGCGGTGCACCCAGGGGCTGCGGGCGGGAGGCGAGCTCTGAGAGCCCGAAGGGGACTCTGACTTCCTGCCGCGTACTGTGCGTGTACTTCTTTGGCCCATTTCCCATTTGTGTCCATGTCACAGGGCGGGGGGATTTCCGCCTCTCTGCCCAGCGCTGGGTCCCCAGGGCCCAGCACAGTTCCTGGCACACGGGAGGGTCTCCCTGTGAACACTCGCTGAGACAATGAATGAAACGCACGATACGGCACCAGTTACCACAGGGGTCTGGTTTGGGCCGAACGAAGGACGGGGCAGGGGCCAGTCTGTCCAAAAAGGGACAACGGCCGAAGGCTCGTGTGGTGAAAGGCAAGGCCCGGGAACGGGAAGTGGATCCTTGGGTGCGTTCCCCTCAGAAGAGACAAGAAAGCCACGTCTCAGTCAAGGACATTAGAGGTCAGTCTACGGAGGTGGACCTTCATCTGTGGAGCACCAGAGACCCATTAAAGACAATTTGACAAAAGGAAGAATAAAAAGAAAAGTCGTGGAGCAGGGCAGAATGGAGGGATGGAAGGCAAAAGAGGAAAAAAAGCCGCTTCATTCCGTGAGCCACCGCGCTGGGCAGCAGAGGGTCTGGGGATGCCGCAAAGAACTGGTCGGCACAGGGAGCCTGGTGGGGGCCCCGGGCAGACGCTGGCCAGCCGGGAGGGGCACGCCAGTCCACCGTCCCAAGGGCAGGTGTTCTAGACAAAATCGCTTTTTCAAAGAGAGGCACTTGCCAGTGTTAAGGACACCCAGAGCCAGTGATCGAGATTAACACAGTCTCACTCTGCCACCTAGTGCCGGAGCTTGCGTCAACTAATTCCCGAGCCACCGCTGGAATCGCACAGGAGCCCGCAGCGCCGGGGTCGGAGGCCTCGCTGCCCGCCCGCCAGGCCCGTCGGCACCCGGGCAGGTCCCTGCGCACAGCTCTCGGGTCCCCGGGGAAAACGCAAGGCAGATGCACCGGGCTGGCGGTCGGTGAGCCCAGGGGTCTGTCCAGCAGAGCCGCCCACCTGGCAGCCCCGCAAAGGGGAACAGCGAAGAGGGAGTGAACGAGGACCACGCCAGCCCCGCCCGAGGACCAGCCAGGGCACAGCTCAGCGTAGGAGGGAAATGGAGGGACAGAATGATGTCTTCTCATGTCCCCATAGAAGTACTTACAATACCATAATTCCTGCCGTTAGAGGGAAATGGCTACCTAACATAGAAGGGCACCAGGTATGACAATTGAAACAGCACTTCCGAGTCGTCAGGCCAGGGATTATTTTCATGTGGTAACTACCTGTCAGATAAATGCACGTTTCTTTTTTAGGTAGGAAGAACTGTTTATCAAAAAAGTAAAATAAAATTAGGAAAGCAAAGAATTGCCTGTCAAATCTCAGGGGTGTGGCCCCTCGGGAGTGCACTGCGGCCTTCATGCGTCACCAGACGCCTCACAGCAGCTCCCTGGTCACAGGGCCGCCCGCGAGGAGGCCTAGTGCTGGCGCGGCTCCTGCCCTGGACGCGCCGATGCCGCCGGCCCGCCAGGGACACCGCACTGCGGCGTTTGACACTGTCACCACTGGGAACGAGGCACAAGCCACGCAGCATCCCTGTGTCATTTCTTACAACCAGACATGAGCCTACAATTATCAAAAAATTAACAGGTTAATTTGAAACCATATTGGTATCTCATTTTGGTCTTCCTGAAACACAGAGGCCCTTTGCGATAAAGCTGTCAAAGGGAAGAAATGAGAGTTGGAATGAAGACCAACAAAGAAATGGCTTCTTAATTACTCCTGGCGCACGCATTTATCGACTCCTGCGACAGGCAGTTTGCGGGCTGCGAGGTCCCGGCACTGCCGAGGAGCTGGGGCGGAAGGTCCCACAAGCAGGGACCCTCTCCGCCTGTTGCTGAATTTGAATACTGGTCAGGAGACAGCAAAGAAACAAGGTGCAATTGTTCCAGCAGAGCTAACTGTTAGGGGGCATGAGAAAAAATGTCCGGGTGGAAGACAGCTACTTGCAATGGCCCTTTGAGGGGAGATATTTATCTGACGGGAACTGCCGTGTAAAACCAGAAGGAAATGTGTTCAAGGTCAAGGCAACAAGGAAGACCTGACGTGGGACCATCGTGGCCCCATTGACACAGAGGGGCAGCAGGTGGCTGGCAAGGAGCTAACAAGGGAACAGCAGGTGGGACCGGAGGTCGGCAAGTTGCCCCTGGGGAGACACGCGGGGCCTCAGCCCACACGTGCAGACAGACCCGCCTGATGGGACCCTCCCGTCATTGCGTCAAACTCTCCTCTGATTCCGTCTCTACATTTCAGATTTCTTAAATATACCATTAGAATATTTCAGGAGCCAAAGAAGCTCCCAAATCTCCAGGAGAGTTAATTCCAGAGTTAGAGCTAAAGTTATTTTCCAAAAATTATAATTTAGAAAAAGCATGAATGCAACCAATGCTGGCTTGTTCTTTTCTTTAATTTCAAAATGAGTCTTTTTAGAGACGGTAGACCCATGCCAGCTAATCAGGAAATGGAAGGAAAATGTTGAGTGGCTCAACGTTGCACCTACGTATAAATGATACCGTAAGTGTGCATTTTGGGGTCTTCCTCCTCGATGGAGAACCGGGCCCACTGCTCCTGCGGGCCTTGGCGCGGTGCCTTCTTCTCCAGGTCCCAGTACAGCTCAATGCTGTGATGCGTCACCTTGCCCACTACCGGGGGGTGGGGCTTTGAGGGCGGCGTGATTTCTAAAAAAGAATGACACCGATTTCAGGACTCTATCGCCACGCGGGAGAGACACCAGCTGAGCACGTGGTAGCTGCTCAGGGATCGAACGCTGCCTTCCTGCCCCTCGGGGTCCGTGTGCGTATCCCTCCCTGTGACGTGGGGGACACCTGCACAGCTGACGTGAAGCGCGCCCAGCCGACAGGGTGAGCCGCCACGTTCCCCAACAAGCTGACTGCCTCACGCCCGTCAACACCAGGCCCCACTCCCGGGCCCTTCCGAAGGCTGGTTAACCTGCCAGCCCCGTTAGGCCGTTCCTTGAGCTGGTGCAGCTCAGGCTGCTGCTGTCAATCCTTCAGTGAACTGGCTGGTAGACAGGACACAAAGGATACAGCTGGTCCAAGAATGTGTAACATAGCTGAGGAAGGGTGGCTACCTACTCTACATAAACGGTTCTTACAGACAAGCCAAGGGGAAAACCCTAAGGCTCCTAACAAGAGGCAAAAGAGGAGCCGTGCCCAAGACAGCAAAATCAAAATGGCCAGCGCATTGTCCAAAGAGATGTTCCTGTTCTCTAGTGGTCCCCAGAAACTGGTAGCAGCAGGGTGTCACTTTCTATCCAGCTGGACACTTAAAACAAGAATGTCATAATGATCAGAAGTGACGATGGAGACGGAGGACGCACGCACGTTGGGGGGTGGGGCAATACGAAGCGTAGCTCTCTGAGCAGTACTGCAGCACCTCTCGAAGTTAAAAGACGGTACACCTCTCTCCACAGCCCTCCCACTCCGGGTAGCCCCTCCTGCAGAAACCAGGCCACCGGTGCACACAGGGACACGCACGCATGCCCAGACATTAAGTGCTACCATTCTTAGCAATTTACTGCAAAAAAAAACCTCTGAATAAGGGAATGGTCAAATAAATGATAATCCGTCCATAGCATGGACGATTACACAGGCTTTGTAAGATGAATTAGTTCTATACTAGATGCCTTGAGAGGAGCTCCAGAAGATACTGTTGAATTAGAAATTAAGATGCAGAGAAAAATACAGAACATCCCGTCTCGGAGAAAGCTGACCAGGGGCTCAGCACGGTGTGCACCGAGTTACGTGCGTGCGGTTGTTGTTTCATGCTCATTTGGCCTCTCCTGCCAGATTTGAGTTCCCCGAGAGCTGGGTCCGTATCCTACCCTTCTTTCATAGCCTTCGCCTCTCCCTCTGCCGCTCAGGCCTCACAGGTATCGCTGATCCCCAAGTCTGGCCACTCGGACAGAAAGAGACTTGGGCTTCCCTGGCGTCTCAAACCGCTGCCCCTGCTCCCTGCAGCCCCGGGCCTCCACCTGCAGCCCCATCCCGGGAAGACAGGGCTGCCCTGGTCTCGGCCGCCCCAGGCCAGGAGGACGGACAGCCACCAACTCCCTTCACATTCAGATCCCAGAGCCCTGCCGGAGCACCTGCAAGCTTCTGCTTGCCAACTTCGTTTGCCTAATACTATGAAAAGCATCGCATGGTGGAATTGGGAAAACGTGGGTTTGAGTACATGCTCGGAAACCAAGTCAAAAATACTGCCCTCAGAGTGTTTTATAATAATTAAATAACACATATAAAGCACCTAGATACATAATGGTATATTTCATACAATAAAATCCTACGCGGCAGCTAACAGAAACTAGCTCTAGCTACAACGTAAGTCTCAAATGAGTGAAGAAAAAAACATGAGTTCGGAAGATATATATTATTCTGCTTATGTAAATTTTTTAAACACACAACACTATACTATTTTGGAACCTGTAGCTACGAGGTAGAAGTTGCAACTGCGGCAGGTGAGAATGAGCACCGCAGGGACAGGGCGGTCTCAGGGACGTGGGGTGGGGGGACAGGCGGGGTGCAGGCAGGGCGGGGCTCAGCGCCACGTCTGTGTGGCTTTGTTTCTCTCTGAGTTTAAGACGTCTGCGGCAAAATGTTAACATTTTAAACCTGTACGATATATTCGGTGTATTATGATTTTCAGTCATTTTTATCTGAAACGTTAGTTTTTTTTAAATAATTATGAAAATAACTGCTACACATTACTCTCATGGGGCTGTTGGTTTTGTCAGAGAAACATTTTTCGGTGTTCTAAAAACTAGTAAATATGTGCAGGCCAAGGGACAAATGAGCAACCTACTGCGTGCCAGACACGAGCCTTTCACAGGAGCCGTCTCATTTAATCCCAGTGCCTCTGGCCGATGGGCAGGATGAGGACCACGCCCACATCCGGACACCACCATCGAGCAGCTCTAAAGCCGACCAAAGGCCAGGGTTGCGAGACTGTTACAGGTTACCCTCAATAGAAGCAAAAGCCAAGTATTATTTTTATTCCAAAGCTGTGTGGCCTAGAATCCCACTAGAAATCAAGATAGACAAGGAATTCTAAATTAATGCCGTTTCAGAAGGGACAGACCAAAAGGCCTATGAATTTATACAAGGAGGAAAAAGATAATATTCCCCTGCTACGCAAGGGTTTCTCGTTCTCTGCTGTTTACTAATCATGGATACTGGCAAACAAGAGGCCTCTGTGTGTGAACTTGGCACCGGCCACAGACGGTCCGCGGCTCGGTGACGCCGCGTCAGACTCTGTAAGGGCGATTTGAACCGGGCACAGTGATACACGCCCGGCGGTGTGGGCACCGAGACAGCCGCTCGGTGACTCACGGGCAGGGAGCCTGTGCACACAGCGAGGAGACGCCGGAGGGAGGGTCCTTTGCCTCACAGTGGGACTGAGCAGGATGTCACGGGGTTTCCTCAGGCTGCTCAGGACGTGTGCGATTTAAAATTCATGAATTCTTTACTGCTGAAAGTCTCATTTTAATATTTTCAGACGGACGGCGACCACAGGTAGCTGACACCGCAGAAGGCAAACCCGCGGATGGCGGCGGGGCGGGGGCCGCCGCACCGTTCACTGGGACCACGGGATGCCGGGAAGCGGGGGGCAGTTTCCCTGCCCCTCCAAACCACCTGCGGAAGCACCGCGCTCACACCCCACCGACGCGGGGCCCCTGCGGCCTGGCCTCTCGTGGCAGGCGGTCCCCAGTGAAGGGGACAGCACGCAGAGGGGACGCTCCATAAGCAACAGTGGTGGCTGTCACCTGGGAGCAATTCGTCATGGCCTGACCATGGTCCGTAGCAATCAAAACTGAAAACGTGATGTCCAGCAGGACATGGCCGTCATCATCACGCCTGCACCTTGGAAGTCGGAGGCATCAAAGGATGCGTTAGCCGTGAACACGTGTTGAAGAGGGAGTTTTTCGGTCCTGTCCACAACAGCCACACAGCGGTGACAGTTTTTCCTTTCACTTAAAAATGAAATAAGACAGCTAACATGAGTTTAATTCCAAACGACTTACTATGCCGCTTTCATGAAGCAGAATCCTAGAAAACCCTAACAGATGAAAGGACCCAGGACAGGAGGAGATCGTTTAAAATTTCAAAAATAACCGCCAGTAAACACAGTGAAGAAAACCTTCAAACTTTCTACTCATCTAAAAGGGGGAAATTAAGTAACTGCAAGGCACCCTCTCACTGATCAACTTCACCCTCATTCCAGGGAGGATTCCGCCCACCTCCCTCCCTCCCAAGCCAGCTGGTGAAGGGCTCCGTATTAGTAACTCTCACTTTGTACCCGACTGAGTTCCAAGCTCTTCCCCGTGCATTCCGTTCAATCTCCGCTGCCTCAGGCAGTACTGCAACCCCGTTCCCCGGTCTCCAGGCGGGCAGAGCCCCAGAGATGCCGGGGCCTGCCAAGGCGCCTGAGAAGCAGCAAATCAAGGGTTAATGCCTGGGCGACAAGACCACAGAGCCAGGCCCTGCCCTGCCTCTGTGCTGTCTGCTGCCTGGGCTTAACTCCATGCACACACACGCACGCACGCCCATAAGTGATAACATAAAACAAAAACCAAGAGAACCGCTGTAGCATCGCTGGTGGCAACAAAAACTACAAAAACTACCTAAATGTCCAAAATGTGAAGTGTGTTGTGATCGCTGTGGTCCATCGTTTAAACGCAAGACTATTTTAGCCGCTCAGAGCACACGGAGGCATGTAGACTAATGCAAAGTACGCTTCCTACGCCAAGGGAAGGGTGCAGATTTGCATAGGAACTGAGGTTACAAAGATGCGAACTTTAACAATGCACACAGAAGAACTGAAGATGAATGTAGAAAAAAATGAAGGGCAATTATGGCGGACTTAGGGGTGAATTTTATTATTACAGCATTGAATACAAAAAGAAAACCGAAAACAAAACATAGCCGCGCCTTTCTGCTTATTCTTAGGGGAAATGAACACCCACCGAGACAAGCACCAGCCGGGACTCGCCCTCCCTGCACTCCCATGTATGTGACAGAAACAAGTCAGGTGACGGTGAACTGAGACCAGCTCGAGGCGGACGCTCAGCAGCACAAGACGTTGTAACTATCTTCTGGCTCAGCCTACGGATCACTGTGGTTTCAGGCAGACCCTCCGCCTCACACTCGTCTCCAGGGAGCAAGTGTACACCAGCTCATTCACGCGTTGGTGGGACGCCTGCCACGTGTCCCGAAGGCACAGCCTAACTGAGACCCAAGGGAGCCCTGACGCCACACAAACACACACCAGGCACACGGCCGTGGGAAGGGGAGGCCTCATCTAGTCTGGGGTGGGGGCCACCCCGTCTCATCTTGGGGGCCGGGGGCCTTTAAGTGAGGTCAGGAGGGTCAGGGGGATGAGTCCAACAGAACCTGCGGGCAGACAATGCACCGTCCAGTGAGAACATTTTAATTTACATCGAAAAAGCTTGTATTTTTATTTCCAGGCATCCTTATCGCCTGAAAAAATATATAAAATTCAAACTGCTCAAAGCCTCTTTCTCACTACTTTACTAACAATCTCTTAGAGACCAAAAGCAGCTCAGACATCCAAAACCAAACAAAAAAAATTTTTAAAAAAAGACTAAAATAAAACAAAAAACAGAAGACAACACCGAAGGGTCGGAAACACAGCTTCCTCC